TGTTTCTCTTCTTTGTTTAACCAAGCTTGGGCAAATTGCTGTAACTGTGTCTGTCCATAAATGTCAAACTTCTGTAGAAGCATAATCTTGGCTTCTATTTATTTCTAAAGAAGACTTAGTTTCCAAGCTAGCCGATCAAAATGTCTGCTGCTAGGTGGATCAAGATGCATAAAGAAGGTCAGTTGATTGACACAAAATGTGGAATCCTGACTTTAAGTTCATCTGATCTGTCATTCTAAGATATCGAGCCATGGCAGTTTGATATGCATGTTTTTTTATTGTTAGCTACAATAGCAATACCTGTGCCACTGTATTTAAATTGTAAGGGTGAACTAAATGGAAATCATGCCCTAAACGGAAATCAGAAAGGGAAAGCCAGGCTAATAAATAGGAATATATCTTAAGTTGTTGCTTATCCTCGAAAGATTTGACATATGTCAGATGAGCTCCAGAAGGTTGTTGACTGCCAAAAAATCTATAATAATAAGGGGATTGGTTGTTAAGTTCCTCTTAGAAAGTCCGATGCAGCCCAGAATGTGATCCGAGGAAACTGGATGGTCACAGCATTTTTTTGCAAGTGGGGTGAATTTTTCTGCCACTATCAAAGGAAAGACATTTTTTGTAGCCATTTGTTAGTTTAGCCAGAGCAGTCTGGGAACCATGGTCACATTTGGTTTCCAGCAGAGAGCCAGGGCATGATCTTGTGTACCTTTGATGTGTAGGTGGAATACGCTATAGTAAATTGAGTTTAGATCTTTCATTTGAATATAGTTCTCAATAAGTAAGTGAAGAGCCAGTGGCCATTTAATTCTCACTGCTCTCTTTGGCTAGTCTATCAGTGACCTCATTACCACCAATGTTAATGTGATGGGTCCCACTGGAAATGGGTGTCATAGGGCTGAGAGATCTTCATCAGAAGTAGAAGCCAGAAAGCTAGTTAAAAATGCACAACCACAAACAAGCATGTCTTATTGCTGCTAAATCAACTCAGTGTATTAGAACTCAAACTGCAGTTATTACACAAACTTCATTCTGAGAATCCTAACAGACTATAAGTAATCTTAAAAATAACTAACCAACTCGTATAATGCAGAAAAATGAAACAGTAAGTCAAACGCGATTGAAAAATATGTCTACAAAACAGTTAACAAAAATGGAAGTGTTAGCAATAGCTGAATTGATGCTATGATCTAAGTCAGATGATGTGGAAGTAGAAGAGCGATTAGAAACTCCCAAACATTAGCTTACACACACACAGAAAAAAAAAAAAAAAAAAAAAAAAAAAAAAAAACATAGACATCATACACAGTGGCTATCCTTGTGTCATGGACATGTTGTGGCTTTCATGAAAATCTCCGTAATATCAAACAAATAATTGATGTCTATCATCCTATGCGCTTGATGGTACATGAAGCTTTGTTAAAACCAGAGCATCAGGCTAAGCTCTGGAGGTATTATTTTAACATAAATGATAATTCTTGTGGTAATCGTGACAGTGGAGGTGTAGCTTTTCTAACCTCACTTGAATAGCCCTCTAGCTCAGTTTATTACCTAAGACACCAAGCTGTCATTATCAGAGCACATACGGAAACTTCGATTTCAGTTTGTTCTGTTTACTTTCCATCAAACCAACACATCAATCAACGAGATATAGAAGATCTCATAGAGCAGCTGCGTGAACCCTTTATCATAATGGATTTCAGTGGCCATAATCTTCTGTCGGGAAGCAAGGCTACAAATACCTGAGTAGACAAATTGAGTAAATGATTGAAAGTCACTGCCTTTTTGGTAATGGACAAGATACCTAGTTCCATTAGCATACAATAACCTTTCATGCTTTTGATTTTGCTACCAGTTCATCGTCTCTTGCCATTTTGTACATTTAGTGTTTGGAATGATCCTTACAGTAGTGACCGCTTTCTCATTTTTGTATCTCTTGCATGAGAAGGAGTAAATCCCATATCGAGATCTTGTTTTATACTTGTTCTTGTTTTATACTTGATTGTTTTATACTTGATACAACTTTTGCAGTTTCCTGGAGAAACAGTAAAAGACATGCCTATTGATGATGCAGTGAAAGCTGCTAGTGCTATTACATAGGCAGCTGCAGTTTCTATGCCTGTGACATCCGGAAAATTATGAAAATGTTCAAAACCATGGCAAACTCTGGATTGCCAAGAAGCACTGAAAAAACAGCAAAAAGCTTTTGGAAATTTTTGTAGATACCTATTTAGTGAAACCTCATGGCCTTCAAAAGAATAATAATAATAATAATAAAAAAAAAATGCTAGAAATGTAAGATTGTAGAGCCAGAGGAATTCTTGGATATCCATATGTATCATCAATAACATCTTCTCTACCAAGTAAAAGGGTTTGCAAAAGAATTAGAAAAGTATGATGAATATAAAAAGACCACCCACGTTCCTTTTTGGAAAAAGATGACTGAGTGATGAACACTACAGAAGTTGCAAATACTATTGATAAAACATTTGCTGCCATTTTACCCAGCAGCAATTACCAGTATGCATTTCTTTCTATCAAGCTACACCTGAGAAAAATCCCATTGCATTCATTCTTCCAGCCATGAACCTTACACCCGACTTCATGTGCTTGAGTTAAATAGAGCTTTGCTGCAGACACATAGATATAGTCCAGGTCTAGATATCATGTGTTTTGAAATGCTGATGCATCTGTCCAGTAAATCATTGACAGCACATCTTGGTGTTTACAACCAGGTGGTGGAAGGAGCATATTTTCCCCATTTATGGAAGAAACTGTTGGTATTCCTAGAGCAAAGCCAGGGAAAGACCTTAAGAATCCCTCTAACAATTGACCCATTGGACTTGCAAGTTGCACATGCAAATTGTTTGAAAAAACAGCAGTAATTTAACGAAACAGATTGTTCTTTATTTAGTTAACTAATAGATACAAGTTACAGATATAGCATCTAAAAACTTTAATCACTCGTAATTTTTCACATTGCAAAGTAAATTCATAGAATGTGCACATTAATGCACATTTTTCTTGATGACAAGATTCTTTAGAGTTTAAAATACTCCACTGCATGCTGTTCTGTAGAAAGCACGCCAAATTTTAATCATAAACCCCCAAAAATGAGGAAAAGCAGATAAATAGCAGTTAACTTATATCCTTCTTTACAGAAACTTTACCAGATTTCAATAATAAAACTAATGCAGAGATGATAGGACAGTGTTGTTATGTCATGCTTTTCCATAATTGGCACACATTTATGGGTGTACACATTTGCTTACTTTCTTGAGGGAGTTATGTTTTTAAAATATTCTGATAACTTGTGATTTCAAGTTAGTTGAATGCCTGACAGGCTTTTACTGCATTACCTATTTTACCTTATAAGTCCTGTTCTGGAGTTTACAGGCAAGTGCAAAATGCTGTAGTACACCGTGGCTCCTTTCTGTTCCCATGGTTGTCTCTCCCTGAAGGTTTTGTGGTGTTTGTCATCAAGAGGTCTGATAACTTTCCTTGTTAGTAGTTTCATTTTAGTGTGAAACATAGCGCAAAGTATCAAGTTTTAACAAAAGTTTCCCCACCATCGCAAATATTGTCTGCCCAAACAGTTCTCATTCTCATTGGTGTGTTTAATCATATCTTGTCAAACGATTTTTGGCATTTGAAAGAATGAGACTTGCTTTAGAACACTGTGTTGTGAAATTTGTAAAAAGCATATCTTTATCATTAAGTACAAGGTGTCTAAAATGGAGCTATTGCGCTACCAGATAAGCACCATCATTTGCTTCCAGTTCTGTTATAAAAGGTCAACTACAGAATGTCACCAAATCATGTGTACAGCTTTAGGCACTAATGTTGTATCGTATGACACTGTGAAGGTTTGGTACCTAAAGTTCAGAAACAAGGACTCTGACATTCAAGAAGCAGAGTGCTCTGACCAGCCTACTGATGTTGATGAGACCCACCTGCAAGAACTTGTGGAAAAGATCAGTATGCAACCACTCGAGAGCTTGCGAAGGAGTTAGACATTTGTGCCATGTCCATTAGTCATGCTATGCATGACATAAACTTGATATACAGGTTTAATCTCTGAATGCTGCAGGAGCTGACTCAAGCAGACTAGGATGGACATGTTTGGGCCTGCACTGATCTACTTAAATATCAACACAAGGATGAAATTCTGGTCTGAGATCATCACCTGTGATGAAAAGTGGACTTACTTCAACAACACCGTACGCCCGGTGAACTTGTTGGCAGCGTAGGTTGACTAACGGAAAGATCATGCTTTGTATCTGGCGAGATTACTGTTATATTATCCACAAAGTGCAACAAGATGCTAGTCTGTGTTGATGCTGGTGTGAAGGGAAAACATCAAGATGAGTTCCAGTGCAAAAAGATAAATGTTCCATCATGATAATGCAAGACCATAGGTTTCTGCATTGCTGGACTCTGTACAGACTCAAATTGGATCTTTTGGCATACCCACCATATAGCTCGGACATCGCACCTTCAGACTTCTACCATTTTTCACTCCTGCAGCTACATCTTGCTGGTGCTATCTTCCATTCTGCACAAGATATCCGAAATGAGTATTCTATCTGTTTTTGTGCTTGCGGCCACCAAGTGTCTAGGCCAAAGGCTTTGGAAAACTACCAAAACATTGGCAGAAATCATAGATTTGGGCTGTGATTAGTACTCCCACTAAAGGTACTGCTTTCATGTTTTCTCTAGCTCTATTAAGAACATTTTTTTTGGCAGAAAACTTTCATTACAACCAAATATTTCCATTATTCTGTACCTTTATTATTATTCATTGAAATTTTTTTAAATGTAAGTATTGTTGAGAAACGATTCAGATTTCATATTACTCCTGTTTAAAGTTATGTGTGAATTCTTTTTGTATTTACATAGTGCTTAATTTCTAACTTTGTAAATAGTGTAGTGCTTTTGAATGCATTATTCTTATTCTGCAGTGGGAATTCTTTGATAATGCTATTGTAATATTTTTTTAGGTGTTAAATTCTCAGCATCGTTTTGATAACCGATATTTAGAATGTGTCAGTGAGCAGATGAGTGAACTGAAGCCATTTGGGGATGTGCCAAACAAATTAATTATTGATATTAAAAGATCTTTTGTGGCGACTAGAACATTTGTGCAAGCTCTTTCTGTTGGAAAAGATGTTGTTAAAAGTATAATGGATGTATGTATGCTGATTTCAAAATATTTAAATCTTGATTTTCAAATTTCATACTTCCCTTATTTCAGTGTCTTGTTCTTATATTTTTTGTAGTGTCTGCAGAGAAATTATTCTATCTTAATTGTGTGATATTACTGAAATGTACTGCAACCTTCTGTACTGAAATGTGCTGCATTTGAAAGATTTCATCTTAATTGTTTGATATATCCTTCAAATATTAAAATGTAGTGCATTTGTCTAAACAAGTGCTGTAGAGACTGAATGTTAAATTTATATACGCGTATTGTTGTCAGTGCAGCTCCATGTGTTTAATGCTCGTAATGTAGTAATTCTGAATCTGTCGAAAGGAGAGTGGTTGTGTGTTTTTTTTAAATTTAACAACAGAAATGTCTTTATATTCTTTGATGTTTTAAATGTAAATTTTGTAATTATTAGTGTTACATAGAATGAAAAAGAGTGTTGCATTAATACTTTGCTCATTATTTGAGTGTTAGGAATATGAATTTACAGTGGATTTTTCTAATCGGTATACATCAAATAAAGCGTATTTTTAATATTAAAGGATAGAAGAATTGCAGAATTTATTTAAAACTTGCAATTTTAAATCACTGCCAAGTTTATACATAATTCTATTGTCATTGATAGCAGAATAAATTCTTCATTGAAAACAGTTCTGTTTTCCAATGTATATTTAAACTTAAGGTAAATCTTTCAGAGCATAAGCAGTGTGTTTAGGTTATCTTTGACTCTGCAGTAATTGGTTCAATTACGTAAATATATAAAGCATTGAAGAAGTTTAATTTTATATTATGTGAACTTTTATCGTTGTTTTATGACTAACATTCAATTTTTATGGAAGTGGAAAGCTGGTTGTGAAAGAAAAGTGAACGATATTGATATTTAGGGTTGTTTTCTCCATCAAGGAAATTTGAAACTTTTCCAAGCCGAAGAAATCTGCATTGCAGGTTATAATTTTTGTCATCTGAGAGGAAGACACTGTATAAAATGCCTGTTCTCCCAAACTGGACAAGAGACTCCTTATTTTCAGTTGCATTTTTGCAACTTTATTAACAATTTATTTCTGTTGACTTCTTGTTCCTAAAATTTGTGATGGTTTTTATGTAGCATAGCTTAAATTTTTTCATTTCCACTTAAAAGGGGAATTTATGGTATCTGAAATCACTTATATTTTCCCTGTATAGCATATCAACGAAGAAAATGCTGTTTCCTTAGTGAGATACTGTAATATATTGCTGCTATGCATGTGAGAGGAGATATATTTGAAAATGTCATGCTCCAGCTTTCCTTTGAGTATCATGTGACATTGCTAATCATGCCACATATATTAGCTAATGAGTCCAAAGTGAAGTTGTTTTCATAACTTACTAGGATGATTTTTCACAAGCTTCAAAAATGGTTTCAAAAATTTGCAATCTTTTGTCATAGTTGTATCTATCCCCTCAAAAAAAAAAAAAAAAAAAAAAAAAAAAAAATCAAGCATTTTTTAGAAGATGTATGCAGATGACTTTCCTGGTGTTATTTCATCAAGGAAATTTAATACATATGCTGCGTGTTCTGCTTAATGCATGGTAATGAGCTGTTTACTGTAAAATTTTGATTACTTTGATTTTAGCTTGTGGCTTGTACCATTATGTATTTTTCCTCTGAAATATGTAGCATAGATAGGTTTTTGCTAATTAAAGATGTGTTGCTGCAATTTTACAATGCTTCGTGAGCATTGGATTACATTGGCCATATATGCTGTCATGCTGAACAGAACTGCGCAAGAAATACCATTGTTCCAGTTGAATGTCAAAAATTATCAACATATTTGAATGTCAATTGTAGCTGTGTGTTCATATGAAGCTGTATTATGGGCCTTTTTATCTGTAGGCTATCAGCATGAAGTGCCTTGGTGCTAGGCTATAATTTCTACAGCATTATCATGCAAGACATGGCTTATTGTTATCATTTTGCTATGTAATAATGTAGAAACACCGAGTGGCTGTATTGCTTTTGCTGTTGCTGCTGAAGTTCAAGTGAGATATTTTTTAACATTCTTTTTTGCAGGTCTAGGTATTTTGTAACTTCCGTCATGTTAGTTAAATATTGATCTGCTCTGTGAAAAGACTGCTAGTTTATGCTGCAAGTGGAAAAATACTAGTGAAAGAAATGTAGATGATCTTGGTATTTCCATTTGACTTTTCTTCATACTTTTGATCTAGTATTTGCTGAGTAAGTATTTAAAAAGCGTCATCTGCCTGCTCATTTATCATTTGTTAGGAGTTTTGTTTTCAGTATACAGAGTGCTATTGCATGATTGAATTATTTTTTGAGTGATTGATCTGACCCATGGTTCCAGTTTAAGAAACCCACATGCTGTTGCATATCAGTACCTGAGAATTTTGCAACAGCATTTACTGCTTTCTGTAACTCAGGTTCTTCCCACAGAACAATTGTCTCAAGTTACATATTGCATACCTTGCCACCACTTGTCTTTACTAAAATGAAGTCGAAGTTTTGAGCTGCATCTTAAATTCATCTAAGATCAAAGATCTTCTGCAGGTTCTCTGAAGAAAGATGAAGAAAAAATGAAAGTTATGGGGGAAAAAACCTGAAATCCTTATTCAAAGATCATGGGCTGACATTTCTGAAGAAATTTGCCATTTATATATGAAATCAATCCCTACATGAATTGATTGGTTTATCTGGCAAACGTGTATTATTTTTATCGTTTTTTCTTGGTATGTGTTGCAAAAAAATGACTTGCAAACTAGCAAATATAAATTAAAATTTGGGCAGGAAAATTTTTCTTACAATTTGGGAGAAGTAATGTTTGCAGCCATTAATTGTTACTAGGTTAAGGCTGATTGAATTTTTTAAAAAAATGTTTTAATTTGCTGAAGTGGAGGAATTTTTCTTGCAAACTCAAGTAACTCTTCATGTTTTAGTTGATATGTTAACCATACATGAAATGTGTATAAGTTTATTGCTATGGGTGAGATGTTTGGAAAATAGCTCTCTTTATTAAATTTCATTGCTATTTGAAATGCAGTATCATTAATAAAATTAAGAAAAGAATCCAAATAATGCTTTCCTTAGTTATTTCATATTTTAAAGTTTCTGTCAGAATGAAGGACTTACTGGTGGCTGCTTGGATAAGATTGGTAAACATTTTTAGTCTAACTCAGATTCTAATCCCAATGTATGGGGTATTTGCATGGATGCTTTCATGGTTTTTCCTCTGTGTAACATGAGAACATGGCAGTTCCCCTTAGAAATTTCTCTTCAAGGGCACTGTTTCCTTAGATAGTTTTTTTATGCTTTGTTTGAATTAAAGCAAAATAAAATGAAGGTATTTTTGTAATCTTAGTAAATTTCTATATCTCTGTTTTCTCAATGTTGATTACAAGGCATGCTATATCATTTTGCTGCCACAATTTTTTTTAGGTTGGCCCTACTCCTGAATGTAGTCGAGCTTTAATGAAAATGGCTTACTGTCCTCACTGTCATGGATTACCAGATCTAAAGCCTTGTTCACCTTACTGTCTGTATGTTCTGAACAATTGCCTAAATAATCATATTGCTTTTGGCAGTGAATGGAGCTCATTTATAGGTAAATTTATTAATTGCACTATTTTAAAATGTAAATATTCTGAAATTAATTTAAAATCCGTAAATTTTATGAATAATTTGTTCTGGGTACTAACATGCTGTGTTTCAAACTTCATGAAACCTGCAACTATTCTGAAATTTAATTAAGACATGTTTTTCATTAGCAATGCAGTGTATTGTATGAGCATTAGCTAGAGACATATCCAGTATATTAGTAAAAATAGGAAAGTACCATTTCTTGCCTCTAATTTTTTATTCTATATTTTTGTATATTCCATTCAAGCTTGTCAACATCACCCGTGTTGTTATTATAGTTTTGAGCAGCATTATCACTCGTTTTTTCTTAGTTCTAGAGCATCTTTGCACATGTCCCAAACGTACAGCTTCCAGATGATTTTATAACATCCTAACGTTGTTATTTTCTCAAACAAGGCCAGTATTCTGTTTATTTAATCTATCATCATATCTATAATCAAAAGCCCCCACAAAATTCTTTCTTCTGTTTTTATGGGGCATTTATTCATTCTGTTATATCTCATTGTTCCTGTTACAGGTATATTTCTCTCTGCTAGACGTTTCATCAGACCATATGAAGAAATGATCGAACAATGTTCTTCTGGTTTGGCTGTGGTTGCTAACTTAATACGAACATGCCATATGTATCGTTTTCTTCTGAACTACTGTTTAGCTGACCTTCATATATTTCAGCATTATAGCGATATTCAGTCACACTACAATACGTTGCCCATTGCTTGAAACCAAAGCGAATGGGCTTGCCTCTAATAAATTGCTTCAGAAAATGATGACCATAATAGCTCACCATTTGTTCATCGGTACTCAGATTATACGAAAATACTCCAAACTGCATAAATGTTTTATTTATCTCATCCAAAATTGGTTGTATTTTGAATAACCTGTCTTTATTCCCATTTATTATTGGTATATTTGTATCATCATTAAAATGAAATTGCCTCTCATTTCAGTATAATTTCTTGTCAGACATTTTTGTAGAATTCCAATATTTGTGTCTTCTTCTGACGTAAAGAGTAATATCCAGTTAACAGTAAATGTCCCAAAAAGTTTTTGAAACAGTCTGCAGAGAGTTTAAACTGGTGATGATTATTTTGAGCAGCCTAAGATACACTCTGCTGTATGATATGGTTTGCTATATCATAGTGAAGAACATTTTCAAAATTTCTACTGGTGTTTTACTTTTCACTTCTTCTATGATGTTTATTTTATGTTAGTTGCAATCTCCTTCACCATATTGAATGATGCACGCTTTCTGTTCCACTTCAATGTGGGTTTTTCTCTTTCTTTCCATTATACCTCCCTCTGTTCTAATGAACCTGGAACATCATTTGGAATAGTATCTTATAGTAGGTTGTCATCTATATCTTCTAAATCGGAAACATCATCAGCTGTATCTAGTGGTAATTCAAACTATGTCGAAAGCACAAAGTCTTCATCATCTGTCAAATCAAGGTCATTATCCCAATACTTTTCAAGTTCTTTTAGCGTTCAAAATTCGTTTTGGTTAATGATTACCCAACTTGAATAAATCAAAATATAAGAATACAAATTATAATAGTAAAGTCATTCATGAAAATCCAACCAAGTTGCTCTCATGTAATTCAAAGAAGATGTCTAGATGAAATAACTTCTCAGCTGAGCTCTTGACAATCTGCCCTAAAAATTGTTAAAATTCTTTTGCCTGTGGATGAAAAGGATGGTCACAATATCCTTCACAATAGTCAGGAACTGGTAGGTATATTTCCAAATCACCTGCTTAAAACATCTAATAGCAACAGGTAAGTAGAATGAAAACAAAGTCCTATTTGTAATGTAACCAGTTAATCATTTTACTCTAGAATAGCAGTGAGTTCCAAATGGGGATCATTGTATTTTGCAGGTGGTCAAGGTATAAAGAAAACAATTTGCTCAATTTTAATACTGTGTTACTCAGAACACATATGCACATAAACTCTCTTAAAAAAGTTTCATTTCAGTATCAGTCATGAGATATTCACTTAGCAGGTTGGTGGATGTTTAAAAGCATCATTTACAAGCAGACTTTTGAGACAAATATTATTTATATATATGTATATTTTAAATCAAACTAAAAATTTGATCTGTATGCATTAAGTGGAGAGTATAATTAAGCAACTATAAAAATAAAGGAAATATTAGAAATTAGGAGGGGGAGTAACATATAAAACATTCTTGTTTCCCAAATGGGAAACATGGCAGTGAATGGGTTAATTTGGGTCAATCTCCACTGCAAAATCAGACAGCTCCTGTGCCTTTTTTAAAAATTCATTTAATTTCCTGTAATTTAAGGAACTTTCGTCTTCTGATAGTATCGCTGCTTTCACTGTCAAATTGTGCTATAAGCTTATCCATTTCATTCTTTTCTTGATTAGTTCTTTGACTCCTTTTTCCACATCTGGAAATCCCTTAATTACTTTTGCGGTTTGGTTGGTTTGTTTGATTTAATTTTGAGTTGATAGAAATCCTTTCAAATTTTTGATAACTTCTGGCCAGAGCTGAAGCATTCAGTGTTGATGAATGAAAGGAACCATATGTGAATGAAATTTTAGCTCTGGGGAGGGACACCCCGGTTTTGAAAGACAGTGGATACATTGAGCATAATACAGTGAAAGATAATTTATTACACTGCTGTAAATCCAAAGTATATTATTTATATTCAAAAATGAAATTTACATCAAATTATTTCCAAATAATGGGAATGAATATAATTGAAAGGATTTATATTACAAAAATATGAAGGATATGCAAAGTGATATATGCAACTAATATTTAAGTCATATTGCAGTATCTTCCATTACAAAAATTTTTTTGTTCACGTTACAAAATTAAAAGCAAACAAGTCAAAGATCTAAGAAAGCAAAGCTTTTGATTTTTACTAGGATATACAGTCATCATTTTTCTGTTATGGTCATTAACCCATTGGAGATATAAGTGATACTTCTTTTTCCACCAGCTGCTTTTTTAATGTTACTCATTATCACTGTCACAGTAGAAGAGCTACATATATTTCATAACATAAACATTTGTAAAATGAAAGCAGTGGGGATGTTATAAATGTCTAGTAATTTTTCAGCCCATATTGACTTTGTTTCTTCTGACTTAAAAATTTCTCAAATATTGATTCTTTCAAAACTTTTGTTATTAATTTTGTAAAACTTGTTCTTTTTGTCTAATTTGTCAGTTAACAAGATTTATCAAGTCTTGTGTTTAAGCTGCCATGTAAGCAATGAAATCACCGCAGGAATGTGGAATGAGAAAAACCTGAATGAACAGAAGAATAAATACTTTTTGTTCATTATATGGAAAATTATGTAATGCTTGTGATGTCTACTGTATTCACTAAAATCAATTAGTTTTCATTAGAAATATGCCTCTGACTTAAAGAACTTTCCAAAAGTGAAGTCACCTTAACTGCATGCATGGGGGGAAAATTAGTGAAATAAGACTTTGGTCCAGCTCGTCAGAAATTATTAATGCAAGCTGAGATTATTTGAAAAGTATGTTGCTGTTTATAAAATTTGTGAATGCAATCATGAGCACCAAAGGGTTAATTTGTAGTCGGTATTTTATGAATAACATTTTCAAAATTTAATCTTTATTAAAATTTTTACATTTTTTCTTTTAAATTTTATTATAAATCTTTCATTTGTCATGATAAATTTTTACTGTATTGAATTTCTGTTTATGTAAGAAATATTTAGTGGTATGAAACTTCAAATTTGATTTTCTGAAACCTCTTTTCACTTGGCTTTCTCTCTCTCTTTTTTTTTTAATTAACACATAGTAACTAGAAAACTATTTTGTAGATTCACTGATAAATCTGGTTTCAAGATTAGAAAATTCATATAATATTGAATCGGTGTTGGAACCAATTGGCATCAAAATATCAGAAGCAATAATGAATTTTCAAGAAAATGGTGTGACTATTTCAAAAAAGGTACCAACATTCTTGTATTTTTTACAGTAGAGCTTCAATTATCCAAACTCTGTAGAACCTAGTGGGATTCAGATAATCGATTTTCACATTTCAGTAATTTGAATGTTTCAAATAAACTGCAGTCTTGAACATTACCATAATCATTTTAACTGAGTAAAAGTTTATTTTTCAATGTTAATATTTTATTTTGGCGTAAATTTATATATTTCTCAGTAATGGAAGTGGAAGGGGGGTTTATTACCCATAACTGCTTACATCAAGCTGCTGCTTCAACTTTTTTTTTAAAAACTGATAATTGCCATCTTGCCTTTAACTAAAAGAACAAAGTACAAAGTACAGTTCTTTTATATTTAGGTGCCAAAATTAGGAATATTATACCCACAAATCACATCATTTTTTATTCAAGTCCAGAGATAAAAAAAAAATGAAATAATTTAAAATAAGAAACAGAGTGGACTAGGTAAAATGCAAAAATCATCATTTCAAACAATTTGAGAGATTAAAAAATTAAATTATTAAGAATTAAGGGGAACAGCAATTGAAAGATTAAGAAGGATTTATTCGTCATATCTGTCTCTTATTTTCAGACTCTTTTATAGAATTTTTGCCTGCATTTTTCCCAAAAGTTTCTGTTAGTGTGGTTAATTGATTGCTGAGATAATTGAGGCTCTACTGCTTGTGGAAGTGCACATACTGTATGTTTCAATTTTTTAAGAAAGGATTATTACATATATTAACCCCTTGAGTGCCATGACTGGTTTTATCTGGTCACATGATTTTTTTTATTACTTGGTGCATATTAGCATATAATTTATAATATTTCGCTTTCAAACTTTTTAATAATGTAAATATGACTTGATGAATTTAAGTTTTTGAAAATAGAGATTAAAGTAAGTAATTGTACAAATTTAGTTAATAAATGCTGTTTAAATACAGGTCTTCATTAGCAGATCCAGAAACCTTTGCCACTCAGAGGGCTAGAAAGTTTCTAATAAAAATGCCCTTCTGTATAAGATCTAATTTGAAAGTAATATTGGATTGACTGGTTATACTGTCCTGTAGAAATAAGGTTCATATCGATGATCTGTGTCTGTACATGGAGTTTTGAGACACTGTGTAGATTTTTATAACATTCTGTATGAGTCATTGAGGAAATTACATTTCAAGAACTTTTATCATGTCTCATACTGTGACTGGATTCATACATTATTTAAAGAAGGTTCTCTTTACTTCTTGTGGCATCATACCTGAACACATCTGATGCTGTAATACATTCATACATCATTTAAAGAAGACTGTCTTTAAGTATTGTGTAATCTTATTGATTATGTAGAATAATTCATTTGTAGAAGTAGGAACCACATCTACAATAATTGGAAGTTAAAAAAAAAATTCAAAACTGAAAGGCAACTTTACGGAATGCCTGTAATGCACATGCAAAAATCTTAAATCGTAAAAGTAGAGTTATTATTTTTAACCAAATCATGTAGCAAAAATTACCTTATATAGTTTTGCAGTGAGTTATGAATTTTATTTAAATCAGGAATTTTAAACAGAACATGCATGCTTTCATGGTTCCTTTCTTTATTCCCTTAAGCAGTTGTATGCTGTCAAATGTGCAGTATCTATTTACTTAAATATTTTATGTGGGTTATAGAAAATTCTATATCCTCCTTTCCTCCCACAACGTGCTAGATTTGGTAAATTTTGCATAGTCGAAGGTCGTCACTTTACTTGCATGCTACAGGAAGAGAGTATTTATTGTTTACCATTGAATTTAATGCAGTTTATAATTATTTTTAAGATAAATGCAAATTTTCTGGGTTCTTACCTTTTAACACAACCAGCTTGGCACAATTTGATGAATTTTTACAGGTGAAAAAGTAAGTACTACTTATTGGGTGCATCTCAGGTTGAAATTCACAATCAGTATTTAGCTTAAGTCGGTAAACATTATCAACATGTGAAAAAAAAACTTACTTTAGCAGTATAAAATACAAATTTGAATTATATGATACATTAAAAAAATAAAGCACTTAACATTTTTCCTCAAATATTTCTGCAATTTTTTTTTGCCCTATTTTTTCCCTGAAGAACTCAGCAATCTGTTTTTGCTTAAAAAAGTCAGTGAATTGCAGAAACTCAGCTTCATGTAATCCAATTGGGAACAGTGGTCTGTGTAGGAAATGCATTTCATCATTGTTTCCTTAAAAAATGTTCAGCAAAATTCTGTATTGTTGCACAAATTTTACCGCAGTTACTTCCATTGCTGCTAATTTGGCAAACTTATAGTTTAAAACAAAGTTTAAAGCAAAAAATATGTTTTTTTTTTTTTAAATAAAACCTGTTGGAATTTGAAATACAGTGAAAAAGAACGTGCACAAAATTGGCAGTTTTGCTTGACTGAAAGATTGTTATGTCTATGGTTGCTGGAAGAATTGTTATACACATGGTTTCCAGAGTTTGGCACATTCTGAAAATTTGGTGATGTGTACTAAGGTGGGTGTTTTAATATACAACTGTTTTCCACAGCAAGGTTTGCAGTGTATTGTGCATTTAATTAAGGTTGACATATTCTTATTTCTAGGCTTCTCTGAGTTCAGTATAATAATGTATTGGACTTTAATGAAGTGGAATATCCTTTCTAGAAGTTTGTAGCATGACTGAAACTTAGAGACTTTTAGAGAACCTTATTTAACAGTTGTCTAGTTTTTTTTCTGTCAGTCTGTGGAAAAGAAAATTGCTTAAAAGGGATAAACCTTAGAGCATTTGCAATAAATATAAAAGTAAAACAAAGATATTTAAAAAAAAACTATGTAACAAGAAAATTAGCTAGTTGATAGTTTATGATGTTGAAAAAAAAGTTCTTTTAGTTTGGTGAGTTATCTAATATTGCAAGAATGTGTGCATAGATTAAAAAAGTAAATTCAGCAATTTCAGTGTGCTTTCGATCAGGATCTGAATAATCTCACTGAAATCAGGCCTTAAATATAGCTGGAGCCGTGTTCCGGTACATCTCAGCTTTCAAGTGAAATCATAATTTCAGGCAGAACATTGCTGAATCTCCAAATGCGATAAACTTCAGTACTTTGTTGGGCAGTCAAATGGTAGTTTTAACTGAAAGTTTTGATGTAAATAAAATGCAACACTAATAAATAAATAATTTTATATTGCTAAATAAAATGTTGCATTTAATAAAACTGGTACCTATATTAGATACTGAGCCTCTGAATTTCTCTGGGAAGAGCAAAATGGAAAACTTGAAGAGAAAAATGTCAAAAGGAAATTCTATCAGGATTTTATTAGGGGGAAATGATAAAAATGGCTTCAGTTGGATTTAAATGGTTTCATATTGATTGGATGCAAGTAAAGATGTAGTTTTATCCCATTGCAAAGAACACTGATCAGAATAGTTTCCTTTCTTTCACCCGTCAGGTATATATATATATATATATATATATATATACTGTTTAGGAAATAAATTATTATTAACTAACTTTGCAGCAATTGCGCAAGTAATAATAACTTGTATTCGCACTAAATGGATTTAAGATCATACAACTATATATATATTTATATATATATAAAATTTACTCTCCTTTCAATTGTATTATTTTATTCTTTTTTAATGATTGTGTAAAAATTAAATATTAATTTTCTTATTTTAAAATGTTTTTGACAGTTTAAATTATTATTTGTTTGCTTATAATTAATTGAACTTGATATATTAACATTTTGTTCCTTTAATTTTAGATATTCATTTCTCAGGTTTTTTTCCCTGTTATTATTTTATGCCATTAAAGCTGCAGTGTATCTCATATGGACAATTAAGAAGAATTCTTTATTTAAATGAGAAAATAAAAATATTTGTAAAACTTTAAAAATATAAAAGCAAAAGCAGTAAATTTTTAATTCGATTGATAAATTTATATGCATTAACTTCATGAAACAAGATCTGCAATCTGGAGGCCTTGACCAGCTTGCTAGTTCCAGAAGTAGATAAAATTGCATAAAACTGATAAATTTACATAAGAGAAGTAAAAGTAAGCACAACTGAGCATAGATATTTTTTACTGTTCAGCTTATAAATTGCATTTCTGAAATTTGTATGAATGTCATAAAAAGTAATAGCAATTTCTCAGAAAGTCAGTCAGTGTGTATACAAGTTAGTCAGTGTGTGTATACAAGATAAAAATGATTTTATAATATATTTAAAAAAGTTAATCAGTTAACTGTATTGTGAGAATGTAATGTCCTAGCAATTATGCAGAAAGCCGAATTCTCATAGTGTCTTTGATTCTTATAATAATTTGTTTAAATTTACAAGCTTTCTAAATGCATGCACAGACACACACACACACACACACACACACAAGTTTAAATTTTCCAAAATTTTTTAAAATAAGTCAGCTCTAGTTTTGTGAATTGTTTGATTTGTAAAGTACTTGAGTTAAATGATCTCTATTTTGAGTTAGAAGATAAACTTGTACTTGAATTTGTACCTCATATGCAGTATTTGTAAATTACGAGTGTGACTTATAGATTGATTCATTAATTTTGCCAGTATCAATATTCACTACCAGAGTTGATTTTTATCAGCACCAAGACAAATCAGCAATTGATAAATTAATTTCACATAATGTTATTTGCATACACCAAGATAAACTGGATTATGACTCTCTGGTATAAATTATCTGTAAAAAGCCTAACTAAAAAGATATCCAATTCAGACATTAAAGTTGGTGAATTTAAAATTTTTTACACATGCATTTTATTATTGTATATGGTATGCAGTATCGAAAAATATGAACACACAAAGTGCTATAGCCAACTTTCAAATACAAATAATGCTAATATCCATTTATTAATAGATTTATAAAAATATTTGTTAAGCAGCATTCCTATTTTGAAAACTTAGAATATGACCCTGACAGGGTTTATGAATAAAAGGGAAATAAAATTAGAATTAAATATTTAGAGTGCAAATTTATAAAAGGGAAAGGAAATCAGAAATGAATTATTATTTAGAATGCAAATTTTAACCAAGTAGCCAGTTTTAGAAAAGGAAGGTATGTCAGAAAGCTGAATGCATGGCTAAAAATGACTCATTTGAAATGAGGAAATAATACAAATATATGTATGTGGAATAAGCTTTCTTCTGACAGTTATAATTATATTATCTTCAGCATCTAATTATTAACTTGATTTATATCTTCATCTTAACCTGCTGTGAAACAGCTTTTGCTGTCTCAGTAGCAGGTTACTGTTGCTTATTGTACTTCTCCTGTTCTTGTTTGCAGGTAGAATAACTAGAGAAGGGGATTATGAGCTTATGTTTTAAAACGATTGTGTTAGTTTTCACATTTAATTTTCCAACATTTTTCATTCTTTCAGCTATTTCACAAATGTGGTAAACCACGTCTTGGTAGGCGAGATCTCTCTGATCAAGAAGTTACTTTAGAGAAGCTAAAGTTTATGCACAATCATGCTGCCCGTCCAACTACTGCTGCTGGTACCAGCATAGAACGATTAGTTGATAATCTGAAGAAGAAAACAAAGAAAATAAAAAAGTTTTGGCAGGATCTTCCTTTAAAAATGTGCACTCATTCACAGATGGAAGAAGGATCAGATGGTTGTTGGGATGGTAATAGTCAAACAAGGTAAATATATGGACATTTAACATAACATAAGCAGTGAATTTACAAGTACATTTAAACTTATTTACTGTATAATCCTAACCTATGTTTTTTAAATTGCTGTTGACTTGTTTCGTATGTGTAAGGTTACACCATATTTGGGCTTCTAAAGGTACTGGTTATTTGTGAAAGATAACTTTTCTCTTTGTAAAGCTAAGTATTAAATTTCTTTTCACATTTGTCTTATAATGTTGTCTAATTATTTCAAGTAGCGCTTTAGTGATCTATTTAAATAAAATCATGGCTTCTTGCTGTTGAATGTTGTGATGCAAAAATTGTGGAGTTTTTTAAGCTATTTCCTTTTTTTAAAGTAAATAAATCTTTCACTAGGCTGGTATTCATAAAGCAATCTTTTTTCCTTAAACTTGTGAAATCTAAATAGTAAAATCTTAATATTTTGTCTTGGAGAATAATTACTCTGAAAAGACTTGTTCCATGGCAAAGGAAATTTAACTTCAGAGGACATGTATAAATAATTTATAGTGTTCTTGTAAAAAACGATTTGGCACTTTCTGAGTATCTCTTCTCCCCTCAAAAAAGTTGGAAACTCATTGGCAACTAATTTTTTGTCAAGCTAATGTACGAAAGGTGACAGCCATTTTCCATTGCCAAAATGGCAACACACTAAGAATTCTGTGCAAGAGCAATCAGTCAATAAAATTAAGGAAGCGGGAAACATCTGTAATAAAATTCTTACCTTTTTCAGAAAATCCTTTTTTGAGTTGTAGTTCTCCCTGTGTATAAAGCAGGTTTTCTCTTAAAAAAATCAAAGAATTGCACAAAGTCTGTATCCATGCAGTTTAGTATTGTGCACCAGCAAAAACATACATTTACATACAAAATAGATAATTGCTACATAAATAGTTTTGGGCAACATTGTGGCCTTGTGTACAACCATTTTGGTGATGTACTGTTTTGTTTCATGAATTATTATTATTTTTTTTAACTTTTCAGGGGGTACAAATAATCAGAAAGCATCAAATATTTGAATATCTGTTTTGGAAGTATGTTCTGAGCATTTTATGAACTCTCTCCCTTCTTTCTGATATCTTTCAGTTTTAGGAGTAGGTCATTCTGAGTGTTTTAGGAACTTTCTCCATTCTTTCTAATATCCTTTTATGAAATATTTGCTGATATGGTCACCCAGAGGGAAAAGTGGTTAATGACTCTGACTGCAATTCCAAAGAGCCCAGGTTTGAATTCTGGAGAAGGCATGGATGTAAATTGTCTACCCCTTCATAGGAGGTACAGTGGTACACTTAACATAATTCATGTGCATAAAACATTAAACTTCATTTAACATACTACAATTCAGAAGACTATATTAACTTAGTTTAAACTTCGCATCACACGTACAGTGGTTGGTATTATTTGCTTTGTAATAGCCCCAAAATTTTCTACTTATTACGGTCTCGGACTATTTCAAGAAATAAAGTAAATTCTCAGTACCTTTTGTTTGTGTGGAATTCAGTCATTTGTTTCTTGAGAAACTCTGACCAAGTTGGATAGGTGCTGGTCATGCGAATTTGGATCTTATGTGACTGGTAGTTTTCCTCTTGTTGTGGCCATTTTTGCTTCTGTGTAGGATCCTTTATTCTTCTAGATTTTCATTGACCTTCTGCAAATACAGCTGGAGCTGGCTGTTGGCAGGATCTTTCCAGGTCGTGCAGCCTGCCATTCTTGTTTATTCTTGCTGGTTCTGTTAAATTTTCATTCAGTCGGTTCGGATTACAGTGGATTTTTGCAGTCTAGATATTGCTTTGGTTTACCAGTCATTTCCCCATCACTACGAGTTCTCTGTTGGCTTTATTTACTAGATCTTTCTTCCTGCCTTTCTTCCATTTGTTGTTGTTTGGCACTCAAGTAGTGGCTACATCTTAGGGATCCTTGAACTTTTTCTTGGCCTTTGGACATATTCCATGCTCTCTTATTTTTTCTTGGGCTTCCATTATTTGCATATCAAATCTCAGCCTTTTCTTTTTGCTGTCACATTTCCTGGAATCAACTCTTGTGCCTTGTGCACCTTTTAATGTGAATGCCGGCACTAGATCCATTGCATTCCTTGATGGCTCTTGATTGCTCAAGCCAAGTGATTCCTGCAAACCTCTCGTATCAGTAGTATATCAGTTCACTCACAATATTGTTTAACCTGATCCTTATTGGCTTTCAGGGATTTACCATTTGTTCTTTTAAAAATACCATTTCCAGGATCCACTCAATTAAAAAGAGGGCTTGAAACTTACTGCAAATTTCCCCCAACTTTTTTCCAAGGGCACAAGAAAGAGAATGCTTAATTTTCAGAACTTTATCTCCCACCTTAAAATCAACCTCATGCTTTATCATAATATAATTTTGGTTCATAAACAAATTAGTCATTGCCTTGTCCCAGTTTCTAAATGTCTGTAGCTTAGACTATTTGGATCTTTTTCCAACTTTCTACCAAGAAATAACTAGCTGGTGTCTTGCTGGTAGTATCTTGTTTGGCAGTTCTTTTTCTATATGTTGATTCATTGATACAGCTATCCCAACACTCGTAATTTCTTACATAGTTGCAAATACATTTAACTATATATTCATCTGCTTCATGATATTTGGCAGTGGTCAGTAAGGAACCATTTTAAAAATGCTTTGTATGCATTTCCTCAAAAATTTGACTTGACACATTTTTTACTATAGTTTGAAATTATTTTAATCAGAGCTCTGTACTTAATTTTATTTGAAAATGAATCTGCAACAGGTTTCACCTGAGGGGAAGTATTTCTACCCACTTCAAAAAATTATCAACAAGTTATGAGTAAATATAGTTAATTATTGCATTTACTACATGGGTGAGGACCTTGTAAGATTTATCCTGTTTCTAACAGTTAATGTTTAGTTTAAACCACTTTCCTGTCACTTCTTAATTTCAGCTTACAATTTCCTGTCAGAACGTGTTTTCAGAATTGCAGTTAAATGCAAATGAAGGAAGAGCAAGTATTTAAAGTTGAAGTTCTACGGACTTCGTTAGAGAGCCAGAGATTCTGAGCAGCGTGCATGTGCCTTTTAGGCTACTCTCTCTCTAAGGTATTTTTATGATCTGTCGTACTTTAGGCCCTTGATAGCTTCGCCGTTAGTGTTAAGGGACCAATTCTGGTAAAATCCTAAAAGCTTCAGCTATATCTTTTTAGTTAAGTTTTATTCCTGAGTTCAAGCCTAAGTGGAGGCTTTGCTGTAAACTCCAAGAAGGAGTCGACTGTTAAATTTATTTTGAATAATAAAGGGTATTTATATCTTTTTAGTTAAGTTTTATTCCTGAGTTCAAGCCTAAGTGGAGGCTTTGCTGTAAACTCCAAGAAGGAGTCGACTGTTAAATTTATTTTGAATAATAAAGGGTATTTAACCCTTCTTCAGTTCTGCTGTCTGTTTACTGAACTAAACGATTATTCGCTTACCAGTTCTTAAGAGTCTTTATTTTTAGCTGTAACTTAAAGGTTGGAATCTTACAACATAACAGATAAATTCTTACTATTTTGTTAGCGAATGTAGCTTTTATGCTATTTAGGTTTCTGGCCGGGCTGTAATTGTTATCATTAACTAATTGGCAAATGTTACATAATTTGACATATTGTTACAAATCTTTGTAGCTGTGGCAAATAAGCAATTTTCCTTATTCTCTGATCTGTTTTCCTTATTCCAGAATAGCTGGATAATGGTGAATCATGTAAAATACTTAAACTTGTTAGGATAATCGGTCTTAATTCATTATTATTATTTGTTACTGTAGGCCACAGATGGTTGCCAATATTTTAGTAATTTTAAGCCCTGTTCTATTTGCAGTTCTGAAATAATTCTTTCTTGTGAATCTAAAAATTTTAAAGTTAATATGGCACATTTTATGTCTTGTCCCTTGTCATATAGTTCAATTCATGATAGGACATCTGCTACAATATTTTCGTTCTTGGGAGTATGATTAATTATTAAATTGTATTTGTAGACATTAAGACCCATCTCATGAGTCTGGGGGACAAATTTGTCCCTGCATATAAGCATAGAATGGCCGCATGGTCTGTGTATATTGCAATTGCTTCTTTGTCAAAATAAACTCTAATATTTGCATGGCTAATATAATAAGACTGCTAATGGAATAGAAGAGAAACACGCCAATGTGACAATTAAAATCGCAATAACAACCTTGTATTTAGCATACATATGTTAAAACACTTAATCGATTTCGAGGGCAGCTAAAGGTCCCTCCTCATCAGGAGAACGAAATTACTAGAAAGGGGAAAAGAAGAAAAATAAAGCATTGGCAAAGGAGTCTCAGAAACACGTGGTCATTAATCAGGACACGCGTGGTCGTAACTGGATTTTGAATCAGATTTATACTGTCCGCCTACTTTTACTGAGCCAGGCTATCTGATCAAACATATAACACATAGACTAAAATGCAAACAAATGAAGGAAGTCAAAAAATAGGGAGTGAGGGACAACTGAACCTTCACGCGAGGTTCAGTCTTAGTGCCTTCAGTATCATTCGAGGTTCAGTCTTGGTGTATGAAGGTGCAGTTGCCGATCATTCCCTATTTTTTTCCTTCCTTGATTTGTTTGCGTTTTAGTCTGTGTGTTATATGATTGATTAGATAGCCTGGCTCAGTAAAAGTAGGCGGCCAGTGTAAATCTGATTCAAAATCCGGTTACGACCACATGTGTGCTGATTAATGACCACGTGTTTCTGAGACTCCTTTGCCAATGCTTTATTTTTCTTCTTTTCCCCTTTCGAGTACTTTCGTTCTCCTGATGAGGAGGAACCTTTAGTTGCCCTGGAAATCAATTGAGTGTTTTAACATATGTACGCCAAATACAAGATTGTTATTCCAATTTTAATTAAGACTGCTAATGTTTCTGTCCCAATGATTCTTATCATTTCGTTGAGTTGGACTAAATGTTTTGCTAAATTAGTCTACCAGTTGTTCATCTTGTATAAA